TGACGCCGGCGGCGGAGACTGGGCGTGTAGAGTGGGTCTCCGTAGTGACGCCGGCGGTGGAGACTGGGCGTGGAGAGTGGGTCTCCGTAGTGACGCCGGCGGTGGAGACTGGGCGTGGAGAGTGGGGCGCTGTGACAAGGGCAGCTGTGGCGGCAGCGGTGGTGCCGTCGTCCTGAGACGCTCCACGCTGTCTCGCGCCGCCTCGCTGCTTCCCGCTCTCGCTGCAATCTTCCGCGGATTCCTGAAACACACAAACGCACGCGTTAGCCGTGATGTCATAACGTTACGACCCCGAGTACATACAGCTATTGTAGAATGATGATGACGATGATGATGATGATGACAACAACGACGACGATGATGGATGATGATGATTAGGATGATAAAGAAAAAACAAGACGAAACGGAAGAACAAGAACAAGAACAACAAAAAGAAGAAAAAATAAAAAATAAAAAAAAATATTAAAAAATACGACGGCCGCGACCGACCGACCGTCGGCGCCTGGCGTTCGTGTGTTTTCGCGCTTACCTTCTTGATGTGCGACGACAGGTGGCTCTGCAGTGTCGCGAGCAGCGTGAACATCTTGTCGCACAGGCCGCAGCGCACCAGACACACGTCCTCCGTACTCGTGACCTTCGTGCCCTTCATCAAGGTCACCAGCGGGCTCTCCGACAGCAGGTTGAACCTGGGGACGCGAAGCAAGCGTTCGCTGAGACGCGATTCGTGTGAGGCGAGGGTTCGCTGAGATGCGATTCGCTCGAGGCGAGGGTTCGCTTGAGGCGAGGGTTCGCTGAGATACGAGGGATGGCTGAGACGTGATTCGCTCGAGGTGAGGGTTCAATAAGACGCGAGGGTTCGCTGAGACGCGATTCGCTCGAGGCGAGGGTTCAATAAGACGCGAGGGTTCGCTGAGACGCGATTCGCTCGAGGCGAGGGTTCAATAAGACGCGAGGGTTCGCTGAGACTGCGATTCGCTCGAGCGGAGGGTTCAATAAGGAGCGCGAGGCGTTCGCTGAGAGGCGCGCAGTTCGCTCGAGAGCGAGCGAGTTCAATAAGATGCGAGGGTTCGCTGAGACGCGATTGCTCGAGGCGAGGTTCGCCAAGACGCGAGGGTTCGTTGAGACGCGATCGCTCGAGGCGAGGGTTCAATAAAGACGCGAGGGTTGCGCTGAGATGCGATTCGCTCGAGGCGAGGGTTCAATAAGACGCGAGGGGTTCGCTGAGACGCGATTCGCTCGAGCGAGGGTTCGCCAAGACGCGAGGTTCGCTGAGACGCGATTCGCTCGAGGCGAGGGTTCAATAAGACGCGCAGGGTTGCTGAGACGCGATTCGCTCGAGCGAGGGTTCAATAAGACGCGAGGGTTCGCTGAGCGGCGATTCGCTCGAGGCGAGGGTTTGCTGAGATGCGAGGGTTCGCTGAGACGCGATTCGCTCGAGGCGAGGTTCGCGTGAGATGCGAGGGATGGCTGAGACGCGATTCGGCGTCGAGGCGAGGGTTCAATAAGACGGCGAGGGTTGCTGAGACGGCGATTCGCTCAAGCCGAGGGTTCTGGAGACAACAATTCGCTCTTTGCGTAGTGGCAATTTTTCGCAGAGTACATCGACTATTAGTTACGCCGATTTCATTTAAATTCGAAATATCTATCGATCTTTTATGCATGCACGATATCTTCTGACTTTGCGGCGAGAACTTTGCGGAATCCGACATCGTTCCCCCAATTATTTATTCAATAAAATGATAATTTAAACGATTAAGATTCACGATTTTAATCTTATTATATGTTATCGCGTGCGTCCACTTGCCCAATTACGACACATACAGACACTCCAGCTTTGTAGCAGAAATGGCAAAGACCTCACTTTAGATAATTAAACTGATAATTCAGGCCAACGATTAATTGCGATTAACAACGGAGGAAATATTAATTATAAATTTTTGAATATATTAAATCATCTATAACGACCATAGACGACCACACATAAATACAAAACTTTTACGTGTAAATATAAAAGTAATACTCAAAAACTTTTTAAAGTGGAAATATTTTTTTGAATCAAAATACGGCGTTCGGTGCAAGCGCGGGCAAAATGGAGTCACCTTGTGAAGCGAGATTTACAAACCTGCTCGTTAAATACCTAAATTTCTGCGCAGGAAGGCTGCCGGCGTCGTCCCCATCGATGCTCACATCAAACTCGCTGCGAGCCGCGCCCCACCTCCTCCTCCGCCGACCGCCGCCGTCCGCGCCACCGGCATCCCGCACCGGCCACCGAGTGGCACAACCTGCGCGTTCTTCCGCCGCTGCAGGCAGCGCCACTGTGCTCGCAGTATCTCTCCACCACCTCCTCAGATCTGTCTCTTGCACGTCGCCGCGGTCGAGCCGCCATCTTGTCGCGCGACGGCGACGCCCTCGCTGGCGCGGCCCCCTGTTGATGACGATGTGTCGCCGCGGCGACACGCGGAGACGGTCGCGACGACCGTCGGCGTCGGCGCCGACGCCGGCGCCCCCTGCTGGGGCTTGTAATCGACGTGCGTCGTCGCAGTCGCTCGGCGCGTGCTGGCTCCCTCTGGAGCATGCGCGACGCTTGTGTGGTGGCCGAGCGGCGGAGACGGTGCGGAATGCCGCGAGCAGGTGGCGCAGCGGAGTACGGGAACGGAGCAGAAGCGCGAGAGCGGCGCGCTGCGTCCGTCGTCACCGTGATGTGGTAGCCCAGTGAACTCTTCCTGTAGAATCTAAAAGAGAGGGGCAGAAGCAGATATTAGTGGCGCAGACACAATAGAATGTGCAATAGAAAATAGATAATAGACAATAGAACGTGCGAGAGCGCGCGGCTGCGTCCGTGCGTCACCGTGATGTAGTAGCCCAGTGAACTCTTACTGTAAAACCTAAAAAGAGAAATATAGCTCATGCGAGAGAGAGAGAGAAGAGAGAGAGAGAGAGAGAGCAGAGGAGAGAGAGAGAGAGCGAAAGAGAGAGAGAACGAGAGAGAGAAAGAGAGAAAAGAGAGAGAGAGAGAGAGAGAGAGAGATAGGGGGAGAGTGAGTGATAAAGAGAGAGAGGGAGAGAGAAAGAAAGAGAGAGAGAGACGATTAGTGGCGCGGCGGAGACAATAGAACGTGCAATAGATAATAGATAATAGACAATAGAACCCTCCCATCGCTTCTCTTTCCTCCTGCTCCTCCCACTCTCCCCGCTCTCCCTCCCTCAACTCACCGGCGCACTCACTCAAGAAGTTGCACTTGCAGATGCGTGACGGATCGTTCGAGAAGGTCACCTACCCTCTTGCCCCTCCCCTCTTCCTGCACCCTCTCGCCTCCCTGCACCCCCCCTCTCCCCCCTCTCCAACACTCCCACCCTCTCCCCACCTCTCGCACAACCTCCCCTCACTCACCGGCGCGCGCGAGAAGTTGGCACTTGTAGATGCGTGACGGATCATTCGAGAAGTTACTCTTCCCTATGCCCCTCTCCCCTGCCGGCATGCACGACCCCATCTCCCCTCTGCCGCAACACTCCACCGCTCTGCCCTTCCTCTCCCCTCTCCCCTCCTGCCTCCTCAAACTCACAGCGTGCACAGAAGTTGCATTTGTAGATGCGTGAGCGGATGCTTGCGAGAAGTCACCCTTGCCCTCCTGCGCCTCCCCCTCTTCCTTGCACGCCTCTCCCCTCCCTGCACCACCCCTCTCCCCCTCTCCCAACACTCCACCCTCTCACCCACCTCTCCCACACCTCCCTCACTCACCGGCGGCGCGCAGAAGTTGCACTGGTAGATGGCGTGACGGATCGTTCGAGAAGTTTACCCTTCCTCATGCCCTCTCCCTCCCTGCACGACCCCTCTCGCCCCTCTCCCAACACTCCCACCCTCTGCCGCACCCTCGCCACACCTCCGCCTCAACCTACCGGCGCGCGCAGAAGTGCAGCTTGTAGATGCCGTGACGAGATCGTCGAGAAGTCGACCCGTGCACGTTGGTGAGGTGCAGCTCGAGGCTGTTGCGCGACTTGCAGCGTAGTGGCACAGGCTGGCAGGGGAAGCGACGCTCGTTGGTGTGCACGAGCAATGTGACGCGTCAAGTCGGCTCGGCTTCAGCGAGATCTTGCCGGGCAGACAAGCGGCACATGGCGCGCGCGCGACGTACTCGGGACTGCCGCTGCATTCAGGTCCCGCACGGACGCACGCCTTCGTCGCGCGACGCCGACGCTCGAGGACGATGGGGCGAAGCGACCGGTCACCTAGGGAGACGGGTGATAGTGATTAGCCGCGGCGATCTGCGGGGACGCGCGGCGTCGTGAGAGGAGAGGAAGGAGGGAAGGCATGGAGAAGAGGTGAGATAGGGGAGGGAGGAGCGGAAGTAGGGAGCGGAGAGTGGTAGAGGAGGAGAGATGGCACATAGAGAGAGGTGGAGAAAGGAGCAGAGAGGAGAGAGGGCATGGAGGGAGGCAGAGAGCGGGAGTGTTCACGTACCTTCGATATGGAGATGTTGGGACTGCTCCGGCTAGCGTGTGCTTTCCTCGCTTCTCCTCCTCCTCCTCCTCCTCCTGTTCCTCCCCGCCTCCTCCCGCCGTGCAGGGCCGCCACGCCGGCAGCGTTTCACGTAGAGCATGCCGCACAGCCTCCCGCTTCCTCGCAGCTTCACGACGACCGCGATACGCGTCGCCGCGGCAACCGTCGTCGTCGTCCTCGCGTCCTCGTCCTGGTGTTGCGGCGGCCGATGGAGGCAGCGATCTTCGCCGCTCCACACGCACCAGCTCTTCGTAGAGGTCGACCGCCTCCTGCTTGACCCTGCCCACAGAGGTCACGGGGTCAAGAGGTCACGGGTTCAAGAGGTCACGGGGTTGATCGACGAAACGAGGACATGGGTTTGGCAAGCTCTCAGCACATCTAACGCCCCAGCAGGGGGCGGTGTGCAGCGGTTTCGCCGGCTTGGCATGCTATCGCGTGAGATTCTGCCACCAGGTGGCGTCAGCAACCGATATACACTGTGCGTGCTCCG